AAAGCAAAGCGGAGTTTGATGAATTACGCCGTTTATGCTGTTTAAAGATAAGAAATGAGAATTACCGTCTCGGTGCCGCTTATTTCTTGACAAACGTGATTGGAATATGGGGTCACTACCCCAAAGAAAGCAAAATGTGACAGCAATTTGCGCGGACAAATGTATATTAGCACCTTTATTAATACATCTTGTCCGTTCGATGCTTTCAAATCTTGCTCGAAAGAGATTTTAAAATTTAATTTCTGGGACTAGTTGCTTGACATTTGGTACCAGATAGAACAATGACTAAAGTGCTCATATTTCGTTGTAATAACGATAGAATAGAAGTGCTCTATGTTCGGAATAGTGGGAGATCGTCGTGGTTAGGCTTCGCAAACGAAGATATGTGAAGGGCCTGTACCTGCGCTTATTGCAGGCGCGTTGATGGCTGAGAAAGCCAGTGCGGACTAGATAAGTTCGAATGCAAAAGGCATGGTTGAAAGTCTTCTTGGGGATGAGGTACGGTTTTTCCTGGGCTATCGTTTGCCCTCGAGGCTGGTTTCCACGTGTTTTTCGAAGCGAGGAGCAGCATTATATATGTATAATGCGGTGAATTGGTAGGCAGTGATGATTGTTATATGATACGCAAGGAATATGATCAACTAAGAAATTCCTTGTCATTGCCTTCGATAATAGTTGACTGTCGTTTTGTTGATAAGTTACATATTGGTTGAGATACAAGAATTCGCCCTTCGTTGAGCTGGGGATATGTTGCAGGAAATATTCTTAGCGAAAAGAAGGAATACTGTAGTCTGTTATTCAGTGCTGATGAAAATGCGAAGAGGATGTCGTCGTTTGCTTGATTGTAAAAAACTACCGGATTTTCTCATATATATATATGAGGATTAGGGAGGAGTTCTGTAAACTCCATCGGGGTTATCATAGAGGTATGGCTACGCTTTGGCATTGTCCATTGTGTAGGTACAATGGATATCGTTGTCCATGGTGTAGATCCTGAGATGTCTTTGTATTATGCTTTTCATTGTTAGCTTATATTCTCTTCATTGTTTTAATTTCACTTACAATATTTCATCACCCTGTCTGTTAGATGTTGTAGAAATTTTATTTGAACAATATAGCTTTAATTTGGTAATCGACACTGGCGATCCCTGCCTGTGTGAGAACAGTAGCATTGGATATGTAGTTAAATTAGTGGATGTTTAGGATCGTACGGAGGCGGCGCTAGTGAAAGTGTCCGAGGAGTTGCAGATGGCGGCGGTAGATGACACATGATTCAGAACCACATAATGGAATATACAGTGCAGTAGCTTTATAGACACTAATCTTAGTACTTCTCTTCAGGTGTTTATTGCAGCAGACTCTTTTATGAAGTGTTCTGAAACTCCATATGCCTTTGCTGACCTGTTGTCAATCTCTTTGTCGATTTTGTCGTCGGAAGAGATGATGCTGCCCAAATAATGAACTGTTGGACTGACTTAAGCTCTGATTTGCCTATGGTGATGCGAAGATGAAAATGATCGTCCTCTAGTGGAGGCTGGTAGAGAACTTCTGTTTTCTTCGAGCTTACTTCTAGCCCAAAGAGCTTTGCGGTTTCTGCAAAACAAGATGTTAAACGTTGCAGAATTGCTTCTGTGTAAGCGACGGGGTCGGCACCTCCGGCAAAAAGTAGCTTTCGGCAAAAAGTGGTAATTTAGGTGTGGGTCTTTAGTCGCCTTAGGTTGAATAGGCTTCCGTCGGTATGATATTGGATGTAAATGCCATTTCCTTCATCTAGGTCTGCCGTGGCGTTTGGAGCATCATGTCGAATTGTGAAGAGAGTTGGTGCAAGAAACGCAATCTTGTTTCATTCCATTGATTATTAGGAAAGGCTCTGAGAGCGCATCTCCGTATTTGACTTTCCCGCGTTGATTCTCATGTAACAGCATGATCATTTTCAGAAACTTAGGAGGACATCCTAATTGTTCCAGGATCTGCCACAGGACTTTTCCGCTCATAGTGTCAAAGACTATGGTGGGGTCTAGGAACGTTATATACTTACCTTCTGTTCCCTGCATTTTTCTTGCAGTTGTCGGAAAAACAAATACCATATCTGTGGTACTCCTATTTGCTTTGAAGCCACATTGGTTTTCTGGTAGAACTTTTTCTGATATAGTGAGCAGCAATCCATTCAGAAGTATTCTTGGAAGGATTTTGCTGGCAATAAAAAGCAGGGTGATACCTCGGTAATTTAAGCAGTTCGATTTTACTCGTTCTTGTATAGGGTAATAATGATTGCAGGTGTTTCCAGACCTCAGATGGGATACCATCAATCCCAGTTGCCTTGCCAGTTTTCTGTGCTGTGTGGCCGTGAACGTCTCCGTCATAGTCGGATTCCAATTCGCTTTTCACCGGTTGTTGTG